GACTTGTATTTTAGAAGCCATAAAAATTTGTTTAAAAACCAAGCATTCTGTTTTTAAAGAGAATTTCTTTCTTCAGATCCATGGCACAGCTATGGGTCCGAAGAATGCTTGTAGCTATGCCGATCTAGCCATGGGCGAAATTGATCACAACGCTGAGTTTTCTGGTCCGATAAAGCTGTCCTTATGGTAGCGATATTGAGATGATGTATTTGATCTCTGGCAGCGGGGCCTTCCTGCCCTAAATCAATTTACTGATTTCAACAATTCTCTGTATCCTAATATTAAGTTTGAGCTAGTTTTTTTTGAGCGTGAGCTCCACGTACTTGATCTCACTTTACATCTTATAGATGGATTTAACAGGACAGAGGTCTATTCCAAACCTAAAGATAGCCATTTATATCTTCTGCCTTCCAGCTGCCATGCTAAGCACGTTTTCAAGGCTATTCCTTTTGGAGTAGCCACAAGATTGAAAAGAAATTGCTCTGAAGAAGTATTTTTTGCCGAGAAAACAGCTGAATACTAAGAGTACCTTGTTAAAGAGGGTTACCCCTCTAAATTAGTTTCCAAACAATTCTCCAAAGCCTCCGCCATCCCTAGAAATAATTTACCCAGGACTCGTGGAAAAGAAACGAAGAAACTATTTCCATTTGTTACTACACTTAATCCTAACTTGCCCGACGTAGGCAACATAATCAGAAAGCATTTATTTATTCTGCAATCTAACTCCAAATTGAAAGAACTTTTTCCTCAAAGTTCTATCATACCATCTTTTCTTCAATTGAAAAATCTCAAAGAATTGTTAGCACCATCTCGTTTAAAAACTGCTAGCGAGAGACAAACCATTCCTCATAACAATGGCTGCTTAAAATGCGATAGGAAAAGATGCGACCTCTGTCAGAATTTCTTTGTTGAATCTAAATCATTTCTCAGCTTTCAGATGGGCAAAAATTACACCATTCACTCTAGACTTTCCTGTGACTCTAAAAATGTGATTTGCTTGGCTTCCTGTAAGAAATGTCACCTACAATACATGGGATCTACTACTACAGACTTTAAAGTGAGATTTCAAAATCACAAATCTGCCATGCTCACAAACAAAACAACTTGTGAAGTAGCGATACACTTTAACAAAACCCCACACACCCTGGACGATTTTTCATTCCAATGCATTGATCAGGTACAGGCCCCTTGTGGCTCTATAGAGATCGATAGGCTTTTAATCACAAAAGAGGCTTATTGGAGTGCTCAGTTGTTCTCTTTGGCACCCCATGGTTTGAATGAAAGAAAGGAATTTCATTTGAAAAATAGAATTTGCTATAATTAATTTTTCATCTTATATTAGGTGCTACTAATTGATTGTTCAAAGGCCCTTTTCTTGGATTTTGTCGTCCCTTTAGGTGTGGATTGGACTCAGAGGCCCTGCCAAGGGATCTTATTATGATTAGTATCATTTAAGGGCCCCTCCAGGGATTTTGTTGCTAACCCTCCCTTTTGGGCTCCAAAGGCCTTGTTTTGGGATTTTTTTATGGTTTACAGTTGTAGTTAAAAGTGGGCCTTCCCTTTTTTAATGCTTGCCACATTGCTTCTTTGCAATTGGTTATGCTACTCATATTAACATATTTAGTATTCTTATCTCTTAGTTTTTAGGGTTTGTTTCTTGTATTTTGTCCATTGCTTTCTTTGTAATTAGGTTTTTTGTTATCTTTTTATTAGCACCAGTTCACTAGTCGTTATCTGTAATTACGTAATCATAAGCACTTTGATCCTATTTAATGCCCTTTTTTTATTTCAAAAGTTGTAAATAACTGGAAAAGGTCTCTGACCAAAACGTTTTTTATTAAAATTTTTTATATTATTTTACGTCAGAAGTTGTCTATCCTCGCAATTTTTAAACTTTCTATACATAAATATATATATTATATATATATATATATATAAGATATAGCACATGTCTAAAACAGGTCTAATAAATTATATATCTATATCTGATGAGGCCCAGAAGGCTGAAGCAGTACTGTCTGCTGTTAGTTATATATATATATACCCATAATAACACACAATATGCTGCTATTTAATAGAAGCATATCAGACCTTGATTATTGGTACTTTTACTTGTACCTTCAGAGATGAATTTGTCAGACTCATTCCTTTTAGCTGAAATGACCCACTGTTTCTATTATTCCTGACTCCCTAATAAAATCATAATTAGAAGAGATGAATAACAAGTAAAAGAAGGGTTGGAGGCTGTTTTTCAAACAAGTGCCTGTAATTAGTTAAACTAAATTAAATTTCATCACAATAAATTAAAGCAATACTACCGAAAAAAAAAAAAAAGTAAACAAATGAAGCAAACCCTAAAATAACACTTAATGGAAGAAAAACTGCATGTGTCTGTGCATGGCACTTGCATGTAGATTTACATTAATGCTTTGTTGGATTCATTTCATGAAAATGAAATACAGGCCAGAAACAAAAAGAGAACATTGGTTTGAATTGCATTTCAGGTAACTTTAAGGACTTTCAGCTCAAGATGGCAAAGCTGGCGTAATGCCTCTTGTGTTTCCCTTTTCATCATGGACAATTCTCTACTAGGGAGATGTTTTCTTGCTAAAAAAAGAAAAATAAAAGAAAAACAAATTCTCTGGTCTGACTTGCAATATAATGGGTATAAGCACGGAACATAATTACAATGCACCAAGTATATATAGTTACAAATTTATAAACTGAGAAAATATATGGCTGAAAATATAAAAATACATAGCTGGTTCAGTTTTTTCAGTTCTTTCTAGTCTCTCTGAAATAAGAGGAAGTGTATCATGAACATTCCAAGCCGTTCATAACAACACTGGATTAATCAGGCAACTAGCTCAAATTTCACCAACAAAGTATTGTTCTTACAATACTGTGGCATGTGGATCTTGTCAATTGGTGCAAAATTTTCATAACCAGAATACTCAGAGCTTATAACATCCCATGGAGGTACTGGTCTTTGAAAGACACTCGGTTCAGGTTTGGTTACCACAGTTTTGGTGATGTGGTACTGGAGAGATCCCTCAGACTGATCCACAATAGATAAGGTGAAACCTTTTGAAAAAGGCCATTCTAAGTGCTTGTCATGATCACCTCTCATCATATGAACATGAAGGGCCACATGTGTACCAACTCCACTCTTCACACCATTTAAATTAATTCGCAAGCACATCTTGTACCCACATGGACTGGTGTAAAAACCTGGACTGTACATCACTGGGCTTACACCACTGACAGCATCCTGGCAACACCTGTCCATGTTTTCTATCTTCCAGATATACTGTCCATTACAAAGTTGCTGCCCTTGCTGCAGCAACTTCACCCTATAATTTCAGGAATACAGGAAAATACTTTAATGAAGACTTTTGGCATATAGCTTTAAATTTACTTTTCTAGGTAATTATGCCTCCAAAGACTATAGAACTTTAAAAGGAATGGTAGTTATCAAGTTCTTGCATTAAGTGCTTTTTATTGTTATTATGCAAATTCCCATGCAACCACATGACCAAAGTTTAAGCATTAAATAACTCTGCATTTTGTGTTTTAAATAACAGTCACCAAGCGTAAAAGTCTACCAACAATTAGCAAGCTACAAACAACAAGAATTATAATAATAGAAACCTAGTAATTAAATTTTGGTTTGACATGACTGCATTGGCTTTTAAGTCAATCCAGTTGGTAAAAAAGGCTGCATGTAAACATTTAGTCTGTAAAGGGCTGCATGATTACCTCACTTTGAGATTAAGAAATATACAATGTAGAACCTGAGAGTCATGGATCTCCAACAATTAGCACAATGAGACCAGAACAATTAATGACAACCTCTTTCTCTAAAAATTACAAAGACTCAGATACCAGAAATTGAAGAAATCTTTCCTTGACAAGAAAACAAACCCAGACACTTACTCTACTTTCAGTTTGTGTACCCTGTCAAGAGTTTCCTTCAGTTGATGCCTTAACAGGTCAATTTCATTGGAATGCTCATGAAGAGTTTCTTGCATGTCACCCACTTCACTTTCCAGCCGTTGATTCCAATTTGCCTGTTTTTCAAAAGAAATGTTATTTTCATCCTTTAATTTGACCTCTGTTTCCTTTAAAGCATTTCTCTGCATGACCTCCTTGTGATAGATGAGAAAAATTTTCATCAAATCCATGATTTGACTTAAATGTTCTTCCACAAGGTGTTCCCCTGCATCAGATTGAAAGCCCTGAAAAAAAATTGGGAAAGGTTAGTTGTTGTTATATCCAGATATTGAACCAAAAATAATTTAAATTGCAGGCCATCTGAGGTAATGGTACAGCTTGCTTAGGAAAAAAACAATTTATCAATAAAAACTTTTAAGAGAATTATCCACACATTTCTTTCATGAGTGTCTTGGAATGATTTGACTATTTTCTATCAATAAGCTATGACAAATTGAATGTAATTTTAGTAAACAAAAGGTCATAAATATTTTAACATCTAGCTAAAGTATATAATTAAATTGATATTCAAAAGATTATAAACTTCACCTATAGGTGACTGCAATTAACTGTAAGATCTGCTAAACTGATGAAATTTCACTCTGAATCCGAAATTGGGGAAAAAATAACATCAGAATCCACTGATCTGTTGGCCTATATTCACACCCTTCTTCATGGGCATATTTAAAATTTGTAACTGCATGTAGCATATTATGTTTCAATCCTCACCTCAAATTCACATAATCCCACATGATTGAATGGGCACTTAATCTTTACATTTGGGCAATGGTGTTGTAAGTGGAATTTCATCTAATTTTGAAAATTAATAAATGAATAAACAAATGAGAACAAAAAAAGTTACAAATTAGAATAAATATTTTTTTCCTCAAAAACTATCATGGCTGTTTAAATCAATCCTTCATTTGCTCCCTTTCAAATAACAACACAGTGACACTATTAACTACACCAACTGTCTTATATTATTCCTGCAACTATCACTATAATTATTAATTGTGATCAAAAAGAAGATGAAAAGTCAAAAATTTAAAGTAGACAAAGTTGTGCAGTGTGCAAGCATTGGTACAGTGACAATAAGTGTCTTGGCCAAGGACATGCCTCCCTCAGCACTTACAGCTACACTTTGTCAATGGCCCACTAAATAGAGGGTCCCCTATGCTTTTTGAGTGAAATGTGAAGTGTGATTGAAGGTAATGTCCATAGGAACCATTTTCCTTATTTGATTGTGAGCTTTGAATTATTAGCTGAATTAAACATAGCTCTTGAACCATTTTTTTTTTTTTGTGTGATGAATTTCCAGCTATTTTATTGTTTGGTAATGTACGTATTGTTCTTGAACAGCTGTGGTTATAGGTTTTGACCAGGGATTTGACACTGAGATGGACTTGATATCTACAGATACAAGTCATAAAACAAACCACTTATAGTTTTCAAACAAATAAAATAAGACATTGTATCATCTTTTGTCGCATATGTCAAGACTAGAAAAAGTAAAAACATTCATTCAACATGATTGTCTCAGAATTCACCTGAACATGAAAGAGTTTTAGGTATTGTTAGCAATGTGCATAAGGGCCAAATATTTTTATGTGACTGAGCTTTGAAAAGGGAATGTAGGGGACCAGCCCTGTAAACAACAGCTAGGCCACTGCATCTGGCACTTAAAATGAAGATGAACAATTTTGATCAGCTGTTCAAAGTGTCTGTATTACTGAACTTAATTTATTACTTTATTATAGATATGTCTTTATTAGCCTGCTTGCAGGCTGAAGTTTGTGTCTTCAGGAGCAAGATCTAGCACAATGAATATTCAGTCACTATATTGGATGGGTGGAAGATTTGAGACAAGTGACAAAGTGAGAGGGAGAGGGAAGGGGAGAAACCCTGGTTTTGCCTTTACTCCCTCCCCCTCTGTTACGTGTCCCAATTCTTCCACCCACACAGTATGGTGACCAAATATTTGCTGTGTTGAGTATAGTCTCATGCTGGAAGACACAAACTACCACCTGCAAGCAGGCTGTGTCTTTATTTACCTTGCCTCTCTGTATACCCTCTTGTTTACATTCATTGCATTGCTCAGGATACTTTAGGCAGCTTCCAAAATGTTTCTGAAAGGAAAAGTAAAAGAAAGTTTATCAAACATGTGTTACGTGCACGAATGACTAACAAATGTCAGCTAACAAAGCATATATGAAAATAGACTCCCGAGTACGATATACGGCACGCAACAAAAATGTAACAACAAGCAGTTACCCATTTCAACTATTATTTAATTAGTTTTACATTGTCTAATTTACTTAGGTTAAAGATTAAGTTAAGCAGTTCATAAAGCAGGCTTACAATCTTCATGCCATGTAAGTGTTCGTTGTCTTGATCAACTTCCAATTCCAACATCCGCCGACTGAAGACCACAGCGCTTGGCTTTCTTGATTTATCGCATTCTTTCCTTGTACACAAACTCTTCCGGAGGACTCCAAAGTAAACTCTGTATTCTCTATCTTCTTCCTCTCTCGACTATCGTCTTTTTCATCTCTTTCTTCTCTCCGGATAT